ACCATCCTCTTTCACAAAAGGTCTCCAGAAAACGTGTTCCATTAGTGTAGGATATCCCATAGGCCAGTGACTCCCCGGGATTTTCAGGGGATCTAAGGGTGCACAGGGCTAGAGAGCCTCTTGGACCACAAACCTGCCCAGCCTGCACTAAATCCCCAGCTACATACCATCACCTCACAGGCCACAGCTGGGAAGCTGCCATTCCTGTCTGATTTGTTCTTACTGATCTAATATGGGTATATAAAAACAATGACAGGTTTAATTGCAAAGGATTTTCTGCACAGCATTGGATTGAATAAATAAAACTTCAGAAATTTGAAGGGTAAAGATCGGAAATAGACATTAAGTGTACTGAAAAACTCTTTTGGAATGAATTTGTTGCGATAGCAAAGCAAATCAGCGTACTTCTAAAGGGAAGAGGAACAGACATGACTGACTAGTACTGTCTGAGCACTAGGCAAAAAGGAATTAAGAAGTCATTCACAAACAGGAAGCCCCCTGCTGACATTCAGCAGTGAAGTTGTTTTCAGAGTGCACCCATTGTGAAAAATAAAAAGCTTCATGAAAAGCAAGGATCAGACAAGGGGAAGTGAGAATACTGATGCCAAGGAGGCTGATGCAGCAAGAGATCAGAGAGAGCAAATGCAGAGCTGAAGGCAGCTATTGGTTTCTATTAGTGACTGCACAGTCGCTAACGGGTGGACAGGAGCTTCTACTATACGATGGTACAAAAGGCGTGGGGTTACAAGTATTTAAAGAGTTTTTAAAGCCTTGGAGGAATTCAGCCTTGGCAACTGAGGAAGACAGCTGCTGAAAACCAGGATAAGTCAACATGGGAAATGAAGGAGAAAGTAATGAAAGTTGCATACAAGTGACACAAGAAAACAGAGCAGAAGAACACGTGCATTTAAGAAAGAACCCTCATGTCAGGTAATTGCAATATGAAGATGGCTCACATGAGGCCACACATCCTTGGCCAGCCTAACCTCTTCAGCTTTTTTTTGAGCCATCTGTTGAGAACAGCTCTGCATTCTAAAGCACAATTTTGAATTCAGTAGAAAAAAACAAGGTGAGACACTGATTGCAATTAAGAGGGTTGTATGTTACTACTTCCAGTCATTTAAAAAGTACCTGAAAGTTTGAATTGAAATCCATAGTTAAAATAAGGCATGGCCAACAGGGCCAAATACATTAGGCATTTTGTGTAAGCAGAAAGTTTTCAGTACACTGAATTACAGGCTCTTAAAATTCATGTTTTGTCTTTAGAAATTTATGACAAGCAAACTCAGAAGACGCTGAGATCAGTATGTCGCTAAACTCAACTAAAGATGACAACCTCCAACCTCCATTATTTCACTCAGATAGAAACAGGGATTGTGGATGTCTACTGATGTCTGGATATCTAGAAACTGTGAGGAATCAAGGTGAACCCTTGTGCCATGCACCGTTTTAATACAAAGACAGATGCTGTCAATGCAAAATTATAGAGTTGACATTCTTTGCAGAATTTCCCTCTCCCTTACATAAATTGCTTCGGTCTTTGAGAACTCAGTATCAACCTAAGGTCATGTATCAGTTGTTAAAATAAACTAAGCTGCAGACTTCTGAGAGAATATGCTCTTTACACCTAAAAGTACTCTTATGATTGATGCCCAGCTAAAAGCCTACAGGATGAACTGCCATATTACAACATCATTACTGAATTCTTAAGACTTACCACTTCAAATGCCTCTTTATTTTCAACATCTGTCTTTTAGGGAGTCTGCTGCTGCCTACACACACTTAAACAATTTAACTTTATTGCTCACTATTACAATAGTGCTACTTACCTTTCCACGCAACTGTCCTTCCTTGCATTTATTTTTTGTGCTTCTGAAACTCTAAAAGTTCTACAGCTTGAAATACATTCACACCTCAACTTGCCCTGTTGTGCCTAGATAACAAACATCTGAAATTATAGAGGGATATTAACATGGTTCATGGAGTGCAACTTCCCTGCACAATACAGAAAGAATTGTCTTCTTTTACTCTGAATTTCAAAATTTGGACAGCTATATCATGACCTTGCTGTTATACTGAAATGCTTAGGCCTTAAATGGACAAAAATTTAATGGGGAAGAAGTGTTACTCTTCTATTCTGATTTTATATTCCAATTTGGTAAACAGCTGTCTTTAAGCAAAACATGTAACTTTAAACAACTCCAAGTATAAAAACCTTCTCCCGGTATCAAAACTCAGATGTGAATGTTTTCCTGTTCATTCCTTATAAGAATCATTATTAGAATAAGGACAGCAAAGAAGAAGAAAATGTGAAGATTTTTCAGCAATTTAGAACAGTATCATATGGGAACAGTGTGACAGGGTGGAGAGGTTTTATCTTAATTGTCCTATTTATTTTTCCCACAGAAAACTTTAGGCAGAGCCACAAAGGCTAATAGTCCCACATACATTTATGCCTAAATGTCGGAAGCTCTTGTGCTGAGACTACCACTACCATACTTTGCTGCTGGACTTCATCACACTGTATTCTGTACCAGTTAGCCATGTACTAGACAAAAATCTCACTAAAATATTTACCTAAGAAATGAGCGGCAGAGCATCAATATTGCTTGGAAAGCCATTCCTTTTTCTGGGTGAAGTCACAGAAAAAGATAGCAGCTAATACTCTCTGATGTGGAATGCTTTCACATGAACAAACAAATACAGGTGGAGGTGACAAGAGACAAAACAGATGAAAACAGATTACTCTAAAAATGGGAGGAGTTTTCACAGAAACAGAGCTAATGGAAGGCAGATGAAAAAGGGTTCTGACAAAATTATAAATAATTCTTTTTAGAGAAGGTGGATGCAGAGGTAGGAGAACTGAAAAGACAAAGAAAGGACACAGCAGTAATTGGTGTCTCTCTCAGCTAGAGAAATGACCTGTCAGGTAGGTCTGAGAGCCAGAAAGCCAGATACAACGCACGCATTCCACAATGGAATGAGAGCTCTGCAGAGAGAGCCTCTTGATCTTCAGACACAGTTTCAGGGGTGTAATTCTGGCAGCTAACCCTTCCATCTCCCTCAACCAAGATGATGTATAGAAAGCATGAAAGAAGAAAGAATAATATGTAACTTTACAACCCTAACAAAGCCTAGGACATCAAAAGATTAAAATAAATGTTCCAATCACTGCAATGTGGCCTGGGAAGTTGCAGAGAGGAAAACAGGTCAGAAATGCTTATGAGTTTTACTTGAAAACCAAAAGAACACGTGAGTTCTTATCTGCATTGTCATTTCAACCAGTCTCCTTACTAAGTGTACAACAACTTCACAGAGGATTCTTTTTTTTTCCTCCCCTGTTGTCTAGGCACAAACCCAAATTACTCCCTGTTGAACAAGCCTGCCAAGATATCTTATGACACCATGCTACTCCATTCTTTAGCTTCATAAGGACAATAACAAACGTGGTTTACACATTGACTAAGCCATTCCTTCCCTATCACTCCCCTTTTCTTTTTCCCCCCTCTTCCTGGATTCATGAAAAAAGGAAAATTAGATGATTATAATGCAACTGCTAATATTGGATGTTAAATTTCAATTTTGTCCTGTACTCAGAGATTAGCAAATTGGGAAAACCGATTTCTTCCTAATTTGCTCTTCACTGCTGACGAATTCAGAAGATTACGCACATTCAGATATCATGGCTAATTACACATGGAAAGAAATGAAATACCAGAAGTATAGAGATAAAAAAAAATTCAGAAAGTCACAATACCAGATTAACAAAACATCCAGACTAGAACAGAGTCCAATCATTATTAATTAATATTATGCACCATTAAGTCTCACAAATATGGGCACTATTTCCACTCACCTGTCATTCTCCACAATGCCTGTATGTATATGGTTCATTCATAACTCTATCTGGGCTCCTATGGATTTGTCTATGGCATTTTGTGAGTAGTGTTAGGGCCCAAGCTTGTGAACAGATGGAGAGAGCACAAGGCAGCAGCAGATGCTTTTTCAGTGTTCCTGCTAAGGCTGCAAGATAGTACAGGCTATGGCAGGTGCTCTGCCACCTTAATGGGCGCAGTGTCCCACAAATGAGCACAACCATCTCTTCTGGGCACCCAAGACAAATCTGAAATCAGGTTTAATCTTACTTCATTCCCCAAAGTGGATCAGTACTGCCTTGCACTACTGCTAACAAGCCAGCCTGCCATGACAGCATTCTCATTCCATTCTTTCCTCATCTAGACAAACTGTATAGGACCAAGTACATAACACAGTCCTAAACAAATCCCAGGATCGTGATATAGAATAAATAACATTTGTTCTGTTTCTTCAATCCTTTTCTGCACTCTAACCTTGCACATAACCATACTAGGACTATAAATAATATATTCCCAATGTTCCAGTCCTGCCAGATGCTTCTTTTCTCAAATGTGGAAAGTAATAGTGACTATACATAAGACTGAAAATGCCAAGCTTCTACATGGTTCATAAAGTTAGTGTATCTCCACACACATATACAGGGCAGTGATAGCTATGCATCCAGTTATCTTAATCAGGCACTTGTAAGTCAGATGTAGACTGTCCACCAGTTTATTTCAATTGCAATCACTTCTAACTTTTTTAAAGATTTAAGGTATTTTAAAGAACTAGATCCTCACCTCTTTGAAGAAAATAAAAGAAATGTGGGGTTTTTTTAATGCTACTAGAGACTTAAATTCTGTGTTTAAAACATGACTATTTTTAGTCTGCTATTCCATGATTTCACATGCAAGTTACATAGACAGTGGTCTCTCTTTTCATCTATCCTAGTAATGAAAATATGTATTAATTATGTACATGTGCCCCATTCAAGACCAAGACAAAAATCTCTGTTTGTCTAGCCTTTTGGATATGGTCTAGTAATCAGAAAATGGGACAGAATCAGAACTCAGGCACTGACTCACCACATGGCCTTGGCAAACTGATTAGAGGGGGCCAAAACGTTCTGTCTCCTTGAGACTTACCACGTGTGAGTTCACTCATCCTGGGAGCAGTCTCTGCACGTTGACTCCGGAGATGCTCAGTGTCCTTGTGTGACTCCTGCGATGGAGGTACTGAAGATGCTGAGGAGGAGGAGGATGAAGAGGATGAGGCTGGTTTGGATTTGGAATGCAGATCATTCAGTCTCAGGAGATTTTCAGGAGTTACAGTGTCTGGATTCACTGGGGTAGGATGCAGCGTGGCTGGCGTTACTGGGAAGAAGCTCTCTCTGTTGTCCTTTGTATGCTTTGGGGTTGTGGGTGTTTCTCCTGTGGACTACATCAAAAAGGGCAGGCAGAGACAGTAAGAAAATATGTGCCAGTAATTCTGCATATGCTATCTGCTTCAGTGATAACTGCAAGCAGTACAGCTTTCTGTGGACAGAAAACACTCTCTCTAAAGTGAATATAAAATCAATGACTATTGTAAAGAAATCTTTCTCCTTTATGGATTATTTTTCTGCTCTTTATGGTCTATTTATCAAACCAACACTTGAACATTTATTCACATTTACGATGGTTTATTTAACAAATCCCTCACATCATAACATACTTTCCGACAAAATTTGTAATTGTAAGCACAAATTACAAACTCCTATGAACAGAAACACATTTCTTTCATTTAAAAATATGTTGACAAACCCTTGACCTGAACAAACAGATCTGCAGTGCCTTAAGAGAATTTGCAAATAATTAAAAGAAATTATTCTTAGTGAATGATGTGAGAAGAAATGGAGAAAGCAGACAAATGTATTTGCTTGCAAAATAAGTAATCAGCCTAACCCCAAATCATAAATTCCCAGTAACGGCAGAACCAAGTAACACTGATGTCCAACTTGGAACAAAGCTCTGGAAGATCTGTTGCCTTTGCAGAAGCAACAGTGGCACCAAGAGTGACCCTTTTCTCTGAAGCCAGAGCTAAGAATTTCATGTAATGTCACTGATTATACAGACAAGGTAGAAGGAGGACATAAATTCACCAAAGAAGGGAACAAAACTACCCATAAAATCAGTATCTTCTCTATAATTTTTATGAGAAATCAAATAAAGTATTCTTGCCTGTGAGGTTATAGAATGCATTTATTTCATGCTCTTTACAGTCTTTGTTTAACGGAGACTTAGTGGACCGAAAAAAAGATACAGCTGAATGGAATCCTCAGCTGTTTAATTGTCAGTCTCATACCTCCACCTCTCATACCTCTACCATGAAGAAAAACTCGGTTTAGCCATTGTGACAGAGTATGAATGTTTGAAATAGAAATACAGAGTTCTGCTGTCAAATGCAAAATCAAATTGAGCCCTAATATCCTAGATGACCAAAGATATATTACAATGCCAGAAGAGTCAGCAGAATTTCACTGAGAGAATAGAGTAAATTTCAGCTAGAGAAAATACATATTTAAAATTCAAATGTGGGAAGCACACAAGTACTTTAAAAAAAAAAAATAAAATTGGTGGAATGTATTTTTGAAGTTCCTGAACATGATTAATCAATCTCTAAAAAACATAGGATTAAAACCTGCCAGATTCTATGTGCACACAAAAATTAAAATATAGCAGCTATAATCACAACAATTACCATATTGGATCAAAAAGGTTGATTCTGCCTCTGAAAGCAACAAGTTTCTGATGTTTAAAGCATCAGTTCCAAAACTAAAGGTCTCAAGACACATAAATGGGATCACACAAACCTAAGGGAAACTAAACTGCAGAAGAAAGCCTTAAGCCAGAGTGAGATCACTAGAGGAAATGCTTTCAGCTGTGATTTAGAGGGAAAACCCTTCACACCCATGCACTTCATTAACTTACATAATACATTATGTAGAACCTGACATTTCTGTGCTTGTACTGTATCCAAACTTTTTTCAGCAGAAGTACAGGAAGGTACTACTAGTTAGGTACATATTTGTTAAAAATATATCTGCATTTCAAACTGTATTTCTATAAAAATGCACAGCTATTTCCACAGACAGAAAGAGGACATTTGGAAAGTAACTCAGCAATATTTGGATGGTACTCAGAAGAAAAATGATTAGTGAGAGAAGGAGCACAACATCATGGAGTAATTCCTACTGGAAGGGACCTCTGGAGATCTCTAGTCCAACTTCCGGCTCAAAGCAGAGCAGACTTCAAAGTTAGATCAGCCTATGTCCAGCCCAGTTCCAAATATTGCCATGGATGGAGATTCCACAACCTCTCTGGACCCCTGTTCTAATGCTTTACCACCTTCACAGGGACCATTTTTTTTCCCATCACTTCGTCCAAATTTCTCTTGCTGCAACTCTAAATTTAAATGGTGCCTCCCACCTGGTTCCTTCCTCTCTACTGAAGATAGCAATTCTATACCCCCATCCTCTCCAGGATGAAGCAACCCAACTCTCCATGACTTCATTGTCATAAGGGCACATGGTTGACCTGTGTTCAACCTCTTGTCCAGGGCTCCAAATCCTTTTTGGTAGAGCTGTTCCCCAGCCAGTTATGTTGCACAGGACTTTGAATTTCTCTCTGTTAAACCTTCCAGTAGTTCCTGTCAACGCAACGCTCCAGTCTACTGAAGTTCCTTCAGTACGGTAGGCAGCCCTGCTCTCCATCATACTGACCATGCCCTCCAAGTTGGTGTCACTCAAACTCACTAAGGGTTCACTCCATTCCATTATCCAAGGCATCAGAGCGGATGACGTCCCAGTATAAGCCTGAGGAATGCCACCAGGAACTGGCAGCCAGGTAGAATCCTCGTGGTTGGCCAACACACACTGAACTAGGCAACGGAGGCAGTGACAAACATTTGAAAGAGGAAGGCGAACCTGTAAGTTGTAGATGATCAAGCACAAAGAGAGAAAAGGTTGAGACTGAAACAATCCTTATTGGTATACACAGATGGAAGCAAACTCATATTTAATTACTCTCAGAATGAAGATGCTGTATCAGGGACAAGAAAAATAAATCAGGTTTTTTTTTTATTGGTTCCTCCAGGTGAAGTTGTGGTTTGGGCAAGATTTTTTTTTTTTTTTGGCAGAGAACCAACCTGCCTCATAAAGAGAATAACATTTTATTTGGACAAAAGAATAAAGCTGAAACTAACATGATATTTCTGCCTCAGTAAAATCATGACTAAAAATTCTAATGTGTAGTTAAAAAGGTGCAGCCTTCTACTGAAGAATGGCAACCAAAGAAGATTTTTGTATTTATGGCTTTCAAGGGAACCTTCCAGATGTGACCTGGTGAAGAGTTATCTAAGGCTTCTGTAAATAGACAGTTTTCAACCCAATGAAACAGAGTCCTTGAAAGGAGAAAAAAAACCCCCTCTCAATTACTTTCTTTTCTCAAAAGAAGGGATGGGAGTGGAAGAAAAAGGAGGAGAAAGCTATAGAGTCAAAGCATTAAAAAAAATAAATCACCTTTGGCTCCTGTGTATTCTGCAACTCACATGGCCTTAAGGAAAGGGATTTAAAACTGCTTCATATGTTTTACCGGACCCAGAAACTGAAGACTACCCAAAAGCTGTAAGCAGAAAGCTGAGACAAGCACCACAGTGAGGCACACGTTCTTTTTTTTTTAAGAGATTTTGGGTTCAGTGTAGAGGCAAGAATTCTAGCACCTCTGATCAGTATCCAGGTCAGGGCTATGTCACTAACTATACTATGCAAGACTTAGGGGTCCACAGTTCATCATCCTGCAGGTGACTGCCTGCAGGAAAACACAAGACTTTGTAACATCACATCCGAGAAATAAACCCAGAAAAACTCATTACAGGAAGCCTTGGATTTGCCAGAAGCACTTTATGTTCATCTATTTCTACTGCTATACCAGCAGTAAGGCGTAATAAAGATTATTTTCCACAAACATACAGTAGGAAACTGAGAAGCAGTGACAATCCTTTACCAATGTTTTATGTGGTTTCTCATTAGGAGATTTTTTTTTTTTTCATTTTTACTTTGTTGTGGCACTAAGTCAAAACTACAGAAATACTCCTTCCCCCTCTCCAATCCACCTCAGCATGCTGAGCGTCTCTATTATCACCACTGCATTTGAAATACAGTAGCTTTATTACGAAGTGGCTTTAGTCACCAAGAGGAAATGAATCTTTTCTTACATTGATGAGGACACTACTTAGAGAACAAGTGTATGTAACTGAAATAAGATGAAAGACAGGAAGAAGGCAGATAAGAGTTTTCATTGTAATTACAGGTTCATCTAGTCAAGACTGGACTTCCTTCTGGATTTTTAAAAAGAAGATGGAGGTATTGAAGAGTATACAGTACTACTTTTGTCTTTCCTATACTATCAAAGTGGATGGAAGAAACATTTAAGACTTATTAACATCCAAATGACATGTGAGAAAAATAGTTCATTACTTCCATAAATATCCACTGTTGTATTTGCTCTTCTTTAAAATGCTTAGCAAAAGTGTTCTTTGTTAGGAAGTCTGTATAATGCTGAAATTTAAATGAATAATTAGCATGAATGTTTCTGTGAGTTGTGACTATTTGCGACTTGTGACAAAAATCAGTCTCCTTGTTTGTTAAAATCTTGACTATTTCAGCATACTCCTCAGAGCTCATTCAGCTTCATGGAGGCTATGGACAACCCTTCCCATGTTGAAAGCTGATGTAAAAAAAAAAAAGTAAAGAAAATGCAGGAAAGCCAGCACTGGGACAGCCTTCCACCAACAGAAGTAGCAGCAAAAGTGCAGAATTTTTTCATAGGTGTTAGTGGGAAAAAAAATAGCTCCCTATAGTTTCCCAGTGAGGCACTTCAGTTATGAGACAACGGCAGCAGCAAAAAGAAATTGAGCATTAAGATAAAACATAAGAAAAATTTTACTTCATAGACTATCTGCAAAGTCATAAACCAGACAACCTGACCAAGGGTTTATTTTTAACATACTTATTGTTGTTTTCAAAACACATTTTGAAAAACAAAGCAATCCTACAGGAACCTTACTGATACTACTTCTGGAATGGCTCACAGCTCTTGAGCTGTGGGAAAAAGTAATGATCAAATGTTCCACAGAAAGGGAAAGTGACAGTCTTCCCAACAGAAGTTTCCTAATGAAAGATACTGGCACTGTAACTGTTACATAACATTCTCTTGTTGTTTTGTTAAATTATTCCCATGTCTGAGTTTAGCAGCCTAGTGGGACGGAAGTCAGAATCCCCCTAATAAAAAGGTGCACATTTTTAAAAGGATACCAGTGCATCACCACTAAGCCTTGAAGCAATCACACAAACTGGCTGAACAATATGCTGGCCACATTCCACAATATTACCACTCCAA